GTACTACTGGTATTAACACTACTTTTTTTTATGTGCCTTAAGAAGTACTTACAGTTTTATCACAGAGCACCGCAGATGACTACTACTACGAGATAAAGTTAGAATCTTGAATTAACTTGATTCTATTAAAAAGATTGTGTATTTAGGTTTCTAAAGAACAATTGTATAGATATCAAATATTGCTTAAATTTTTTTTTTCTTGTATTCAATTATAAATACTAATTAAGAATAAAAGTTATTCCTTCTGTTCTTAAATACTGTTCCGATTTCACGTTTTTTTTTTTTTTTTTTGTTCCAAAATACTATTCCGATTTGATTTTATTACTAATTTGGATAAGAAAAAATTAAATATTTTTAACAAAATCGATTTTTTTCTAAAATTAAAAAACTACTTGAACACTTTTATAATGGAGCACTGTGAAAGTGGTTTTAAGGGAACTGGCATTTTTCCTTTTTTAGTGGTTTTAAGGGAACTGGCATTTTTGCAAAGAAACCTACATTCTCAGCTAATCTTCTTAAAAGATCATGCTCAATGCCTAACCTTCATAGTATTTGTGTTAACGATGCTCCCATTTCAACATCAATATCATCTGCTTCATGATTACCAATTTCTACATCAACTTTTCACAATCAAAGATTTTTTTCTTAAACAATTACAGTCCAAATGTGCAGAAACTTCTCATCGTGGAAGATCTGCACAAGTTATTAGGTTTCGCTATGGTGAAAGTTTGACATCAGAAGCGTGTTTAAAACGAACAAGAGAAGAAGCTTGAAAAAATCAAGAAAAAAAAAACTAAAGAAAAAAACACATAAAAAAATAAATAAAAATGATTGTGATTATGCTGATAACAACAACACATGCCCTAATTGTGGTGGATGTGGAAATAGAGGTGATCAGTGGGTGTGCTGCGATGTTTGTGACATCTGGTATTATTTAAAATGTACCATGATGTCTGAATTAGATGAAGTCATGGAGTGGAAGTGTAGTGATTGCTCTAAGCCTTTATAAAAATATAAACTTAAAAATAATTATTTCTAATTGATTCCTTTTTACTTGTTTTTTCTCACACAGTTTTATAATATTTTTAAATTCATCAATAGGTTTTTATTTTTATTTAATAATTTTTTAGTATTATAAAGTTATGATCAAGTAAAATATACAACCCCAAAAAATCTGGAATATTTTAGTTCACAGGCTTAAGTTACCACAATATTATACATTTTGAACATATAGATAAATAATAGAACATAGAGATAAATAAAAAGTTAAAAAAAGAAATAACTATTTTATTATTTTAAGGAAAGACATGCAAAACACAGGACAATGGCCTCACTAAGTTTACATATTTTGATGATACTGATGAAATAAAAAACAAATTATGTTTTATTATTTAATTTTTTTTTTTTACTCAAAAGTTAACTATATTGTTTTTACTATAGATTTCATAAAGTAACACTATGTTTTTATTATTAATAAGACCTTATAGTAATGAGGGAGGGGGGGGGGGCTTTAATTTTTTCAGCTTTTATTTTTTGTTGTATCCTGACCATTTATGTAGAAAAAAGAGGGAGCATTTTCAGATTTGATTATTTTTAAGAAGGTAAGTCCATAATTTGAATTGTACTAAGTATATAAGTGCTGTGTTAAATATACAAATTTACATAAAAAAATAATTTCAAATGTATAAGGAGGAGGAGGGGCGATCCATAGAGAACCGATGTGACCCATAGAGGGAGGGGGAGATATCACCCCCCTCCTCTATGAGACACCGCTAATTTGATTTAAAATTTATTTTGTTTGTTTTTACAATGAATAAATAGATTTAACTTATACTGTCTTTAAAGAATTACATCAATAGTCAAATTACAATGTATCCCTGTGTTGCTTATAATTTTTTTATTGGAATAATTAATCATAACTTCTTAAATACTCATTTTCAGACAAAATTTCTTGTACGAATATGAATCAGCATTGATTTATCTTTCCAACGATATATAAAAGATTTATTAAAATTTTTTTTTTTTCTTTTCATACAAATATAACCCTTTTATGTAGGCCCAAAAGAGCAGTTTTCGGAACTACAATTGTTAAGGATTTTTTTTTTGGAGAATTATCACACATTTATGTTCGCTTGAACAAAGTTTTAACTTTATATTATTTTATTCCTGGTCGAAGTTCTATTGTACCGTATCTTACTGTGCGGCATTGGAGACAGTGGTGGTAAATGGGTGTGATATGACATATTTGACATTTTATAGAATGTTTTGTACAAAACATAATGCTTTTAAAAGACATCTAGATGTCTTTTAAAAGTATTATGTTTCGTACAAAAAATGTCTACAAATGGACATCTAAATCATGAGATATCTTAAAGCTAAAAGATATTTCTTAGACAATTTTTAAGGTGCATTTTTGATGTATTTTTTTTATTTAATTAAGTTTGAAGGTTCTTTAAAACATTTAATAAGTAAAAAAACAAATAAGTTTAAATTATTTGAATTTCTTTTGCAACATTAAAAATATACAATATAGAACTTTTGTTATGAATTGAGTCCGCCATCTCACTATTATATATCAACAATACCTAAAATATAATGTAATAATAAAAACATGATAAATTAATATTTTTAAAGAAACATGAAATATGTATAAATTATTTTAATAAATAAATAAACAAATAAATAAAAATTACTGCCTCCTGCAAAATTGAAAAAGAAATCGAAGATATGAGTTATGACAAGTTTTTTTTGTACACAGTTTTAAACATTTTTCCTATCATGGTAAAACCTTTTCTTGTTAACACAGTGCCAGATGAGCGCGGGTTGATAATGATTGCCGGGTTGATGAATCATGATGATAAATTGATGATGAAGGATAATGATAAATGATGATGATAAATGATGACGATTAATGATAATAAATGCCGGATGACCGGTCACATTTGTGCCCGGCTGTACCTGGATGCCCGGGCACATTTTTCCGGGAAACATTTTATTTTCCGGGACACATTTGTCCGGAACACAATTTGTCCAGGGACAACACCGGACACATTTGTGCCCGGATGACCGGGCACATTTGTGCCCAAAAATCGGGACCCAGGAGGGGCCCTCCGATTTTTCAAAGATATATATCACAGCAGTTAAGATTCTGCGGCTTGGTGTTGCTCAATTCTTTATTTAGTATATTTTTAGAAAAATGAGGCTACGAATATTTTTTTGAATTCGGCCTTAAAGTCTCTTAATTCGATCTTGTGTTAACAGTTAGTTATTACTAATTGTGATATATAAATTAGTGTGTTAATGTAAAATTTAAAGTGTTATAGTGTTGAATAAATATGACTCAAGAATTATATTAAGTAACATTTATACACTTATATATCACTATGATAGATTAAAATTTGAACAGTTTTAAATTTATTTTTCTCAATGACAAATTAACCAATTGTAATGATTTCTTTTTATAATGATGCTTACATAATTAATTTTTATTTCAAAAAATAAAAAATAAAAATTTAATTTTTTGTACCCACCATCGTCTCTTTTTTTATAGCATCAATCCATAAATTTTGGAAATTTTTAATACTATTTTCGAACTTGCCCATTTTTCTCAATATTTCCCTCGCAATTGCTCTATGAGGTTCGAAAACGCGCTGCTCAGGGCAGTTTGGTGGATTGGCATCCTTTGGAACAAAACTGACTCTTTTTTTCTAAATTACTTTTTGAATAGTGGATCGATGCCAGGTATGGCCAAAATAAGGCTGATTATTTGTACTTCTTAATTAGAACTTTTCAATAATAAAAAATCGTATATTTGTGCTTTTTTATTAGAAAAAGAAGTCGTTTTTTCAAGCATTCGCTCACACATAGATCTGGTGTCAAAGATTGATTTGTAATGAAAAGAGAGCTTTTAAAACCTCAACTGCAAATGACCTGCCATACAAGGAACTCAAAAGTATTTTTCTTATTCAAATGTACTTAAATTTCTCAGAAGCTTTATAAAGTTTCGACTGATAATAGTATTGATTACCTGGAAGCATCTAGTGATCTTTTTTACAGTAAGTTTCATCATCTTCTAAAACGCATAAAAAATTTTCGTAATTAATTTAAATAAATTTTTACCTAATCCAATTGCCTTGATTTCTCCATCAAGCTACCTTTTTGGTATTTTTTTCTTGTAATATTCTTTCAGATTTTCTTTTTTGAATACTCTTTGAACGAAAGCTTTATTGCATTTAAACTTCGTAGCTAAATCTTGTTGTGACTGAGTCGAAGTTTGATGAACGGAGTCGACTATTGATTTTGCTTTCTTTTTGGAAATAAATCTTGATTTTCCATCACTTCCTGATTTTATTTTGCAGTTTTGTTTTCCTTATAAAATTTTAAAATAATTCCAACAGTTGATTTTGGAACTTTACATGCTTTTGAAATCATGAAATATGAGAGAGATGGATTTTCTATGTAAAGTTTCAATTTTTTTTTTTTCAATTTTCAGACTCTTTACTCAACATTGCAAAAATTAATGAAAAGTAAATAAAACTGCACTCACACACAAGAAAGCTATTTATGTTAGCATTATTATAAAAAAAAATCATAATAATTGATTAAGTGGTTTTTGAAAAAACTCAAATTAAAATCATCCAAATTTCAATCGATTATGATGATAATATAATTGTTATATTATATAAGTATATAAATGTTATTTATAAAATATTAGTTTAAATTTGATTATTAAACATACATAAGAATGTTTTGCACTATTTATTTTCATTACAACTACTTTTTTTCTTGTTTCGAGCTAGATAATTTCACATAAATCTGTCAATATGAAATATTTAAAAATACTTTACATCGTTTAGTTTGGTATAACTTATAACAAGATAGGGACAAAAACTCTAGAACAGCACAAAGGTAAGTTGAAGAGTACACATTTAATTCAGATATTAATGATGATACTAGCAGTAAGCAACCCGTAATACGGGTTAGTAATGAATAAATGACAATTTAAATTGATTTATTATCTGAAAAATATAAAATACAAAATCGACTGTATATAGGGCTGCCATTGTCCCGGTTTTTCCGCTGAAAAACGCTATAGAAGTTTTAATTAGTTTATCGTTGCGCTCTCCTCCGTAAAAATCGGGACACAAAGCATCTATATAATATAATGTTTTTGGTTTCGCTCGTTTTTATTGGTCTTGGCTTTTAGTAAAGACCACGAAACTTAAGATATTAGATTCTTTTTAATAACAGCAAGCACCAGAGAACGAAAGCCAAGTACAACTTACCAATACCTAAAAAAAAAAAAGATCATTTGAAAACACAAAAGCATTATTTTACATATTTATTATTGTGTTTTAGAAAAAGTAAATTTATTAATAAAGGGGAGAATTATTTTACATATTTAGTATTGTCTTCATGAATTAGTGACTCGTAAAACATTTCTAAAACATTGTCATTATCAATTATGGTACCAAAAAAAAACATAAGAGATTAGTAATAACAGTGTGTTCCAATAATGCTCTTCTTTATTAATAAACTTTTGTTAAACAATTATTATATTCATAACTCAAGTTTATTGTTTTTAATGACAATGACAAAAAATATATATATTAGCACAAAATAGCTATAGCACAATTAACCATTAGAAAATAGGTTTTTTAATGTCACCAATAAACAAAATTATTTTTACCCTAATAGTTTAGAATTCCATTTACTTTATAACTTTGAATAATGATTAACAGTGAATTTTATATCATATAAATTTACTATATAAAAACCGCGTTTCAACAGTAAGCAAGCTAATAAAGCAATGACAACTAAAAAGAAAAAAAAAAAGAATGTAAATGTTTGAACTTCAAAAAAAAGTATATATAAAGTCATTTTATTTTAGGATAATTATAATCAGTTATATGATTATAATATGCAATCCAAACTTTAATAAAATTTGATTTTTTAAATTTGATAAAATTTATATTTGATAAAATTAAATTTGATAAAATTTGAATTTAATAAAATTTGATTATTTCTTAATCACATTAAAAAATGTAGTGACAAAAAATGTAATATTGGAACTAAAATATGTATAACAAACTGGATAATTTATTACAATCATAAAAACTAAGTTATTATAATGATCTTAAACTTATCAGTCGTGATTAGCGATTCCACGGCGCTACGAAAAACATTTGACGTTTGACCGAAAACACCGAAATTTCGTAAACTTAACTCTCTTATATATTATTTTGTAGGCTTAAGCAAGCACCTTGATGTTTTTTTGCATCAGTTAGTGTTACTCAACCTCTTTCCAGCCATTTATAGAAAGTACTATATTTCATATGGCTTTATTTAAATATTATCAATATCTTGAGACCACTTTTGCTAAAAGTTGCCGCGGACACGATTTTTCAAAAGTAGCTTTTGAAGGTAAGATTTCCTAAGCACTAAAACACATCCAATTTGCATGAAAATTTCCATATAGATTAATAAAAGGATGAAGAATTGAATGGAATTGGGAACCTTTTTCAAATCTATACAAAAATTTTTAGTTTTCAACGTTTAAAAACTTTAAGGTCGATTTAGTTGAAAAAAAAACTTTTTTAAAAAAGGTTTCCCGTCCAAAATGCAAGTATAGTCTTTTCTCTCTCTAAATCAAGTATTTATTTATGTTTTCTTAAAGATTTAATGCTTGAGAATTTTGTTTTAAAATTATGTATGCATTGTATGCATTTTTTTTTCCGGCGTATTTTATGACGTTTTTTGTTTTGGTTTTTGCGTTTGTTTACTAAATTATAAATAAATTTTTGCGTTAGCTTTATGAAATTTGATGTTTTTTTATTTTTTTCACTTAATTAAAAACTTAAATAGTAGCTAAATAGGACGGTTTATTTCATGAAAATAATAAATAACTGCTTGAAATGGTATAAATATCTTTGTTCTTTCCATCATTGATGAAAGAACAAGATTTTTATACTATTTAATAATCCTTACTAAGGATTATTTCTTAATCACATCCTTAAATTATTTCTTATTCGCATCCTTAAACTAAGGTTAATAAGGATGTGAATAAGAAATAGTCCTTATTAAGGCCTAATAAGCCTTATTAAGCCTTAATAAGAGTTATTTCTTATTCATATCTTTACTAAGCCTTAATTTAAAGATGTGAATAATAATTTAAGGGATGTAAAATAAGAAATAGTTCTTATTATAAAGATTATTTCTTTATTCACATTCTTATTAAGATTTAATTTGGTTCAATTGGTTAATCTTACAATCCTTTTTAATATCTCTTTTGTTGACATTTCTGAAAATTGTATTTTAGCAAGACTTCCTGATATTTTATTTTATATTCATTACATTTTCTATTAATTTGTCTATTTTGTAAATAAAGGTGATTAATTCAGGAAAGGCAATTAATCAAACCGCCAGATAATAAAGTTAGTTGGTGATCCAAATTGGAAACTGGGAGATTCTACTCATAACTTGAGTTTCAAAAAGACAATCATCAGAATGACTTGATAAAAACTTGTCTACAATAAAACTTTAAATAACAGAGCTTGAAAAAACATCATTATCAGTTTTTTAGTTTAAATCAGAAAATAAACTTTTAGAAGCAGAAACATCTTTTTGAACAATTCTCTAGAATTTGTTCCAGAAGATATTTGGATAGAAGTTGGGATAGAACAATTAACAGAAGGTAGAAAATCATCAACATTGTTAAATTAAGCAAGATTGACTTTTCATTTTAACTATCTGTATTTCCAACAAGGCTGGAAGCAACCACTTTTAGAGTTAGTAGTTATTGGAAGACCCAAGATGAAGATTATAAAGCAAAGTAACGGATTAACAGACAACTAAAAATATTGCAAATTATATGAATCAGGAAAACAAGATGGCTGGAGAGTATTATTAAAAACTGATGTTCTAGAAAAAAAACGAGACAAATAAGATTTTTTAGAGCACCTAGGAGAAATAAAATACTATATTATTGTATAAAAATACTAACTTTGCAATGATTTTTATGAGGCTTCTATGAGAGGTCAGTACAAAAAGATAATCAGTGTAAATTGAAGACACAGTAAAAATGTTTCCATTACATGCCATCAATAAAAGAATATCAACAAGATTGCTAAGACTTTTTAAAGACTTCACCAGATACACCATATCATTCAGAGCAATAAGTTATGCCTCACCACCTCTATGTAGTTATAATCTCAAACCTTTCTGTAACGACAGTTAACAGGTCAGCTCCAAATTGAGGCGATTCAAATCATAGACGAAATAACATATAGAAATGGACAAATATAACATATAAAATAAAAAACATATGAGTCGAGACAATTCGTATGCTTCTTATGTTATTGACAAATAGAGCCACCTGTGAGCTTTTCAGGATGATTATTAATGTTGCTTTTCACCTGTGAACTTTTCAAGATGATCATTAATGTTTATTAAAAACAGTAAAGGGCTAAGGATAGAAGTTAACATTGTTAACTAAGTATTGACACTACTGTGAATTTGCTGCGTTTAGTGCCACAGGGTCTGTATGTTTTGTAATTGTGATGTTATTGTAGTGATGTTTCGTGTTGATACACAACTTGGCTTACCTTCTCACTGGTGTCTATCTTTAAAAATGATTATTAGGTTGTTTCATTACTGAAACTTGCTTCTTCTAATTATTCACGAAAAGCCAAGAGATAAGTTGTATAATAGCAATATTTTTTGTTTTTATGTTGTTGTTTTTATCTTAGGTGTTGTCAATAGTTCACATAAACATTCTTAAAGAGTAAGTTTCTTATTTTATATTTATTTAGTTTTAATTGTTAATTTATAATTTTTTCTTTAATTTTTAATTTTTAAAACAAATTAACAAATATATTTCAAAAATTATTGTGTTTCTGCGTTTTTAATAATAATTTTAATAAATTTTAGGTTGAGTTTCTGCTGTTACACCTGCTATTGTTAATGTAAGTACTAAAAACTTCAGAAAGTTCAATTGCTCTAAGTTATTTTCATTTAAATTTAAATTATAACTTTATTTATGAATCTTCTGTAAATTTTTCAGATAGATTTCAAAGCCCTTACTCAGTAATTTACTAATCGGTCTGTAAATTAAGTATAGCTTTAAACAGATGAATTAATTGGGTTTTACGATCTTTTATGCATATTTGCATGGAGTTTTGATAATATAACTCAAAATTTTATTCTCTAAGACTAGGTAAATAAGTAAAAACACTTTAGTCTGTAAAATTAACAATTCTAGATAATCCTAACAAATGTATAAAAAATTATGAGATTTAATTTTCTTATAGTTTTGTATCCCTATTGAAAATTTCAAGTCAAACATAATAACAGTTGGAAATTATGAAGTATACTCAAAGTCAAATTGCCCAATTAGTTTCTGCAACCTTTTTTCAGTAAATTACTTTCCAGTCTATAAATTGTGCAATAATTTCAAAATGATTTATTTTTTAGATTCCATGATTCTTTTATGCATATTTGCATATGGTAACCCTTATTTTTGTTCTTGATTACATAATTCAATAAGCAAAAAAAACTTCCGTCTGTAAAATAAATGATTCTGTGTGATCCAGACAGATTTAATAAAAAATGGGTCACTATTTAAAACTTAAAATCAAATGTAGTAATGGTTCAAAAGTATTAAATGCATTTAAAGTCGATATGCCCAATTGGTTTGTACATCCATTTTTCTGTAATTTACTGACCCGTCTGTAACTTATGCTATAATTTCACTGACAAGTCTGTAAATTATGAAATATTTTTTTGGATGACGTTTTTTTGGACTCCATGATTCTTTTATGCATATTTGCATAGTGTAACCCTATTTTTTTTCCTCATAGCACAATTAAATAAGTAGAAATCCTTCAGTCTGTAAAATAAACGACTCTGGATGATTCCGACAGTTTTAATAAAAACTGGATCACTATTTAAAATTTCAAGTAAAATGTAATAACGGTTCACTAATATCAGAAAATTTAAAAAAATATCAAACTATTTAAATTTGATATGTTTCATTTGTTTGTACAGCCCATTTTCAGCAATTTACTGACCAATCTGTAACTTAGCGATTATTTCACTGGCCGGTCTGTAAATTATGCAATAGTTATCAAATGATGTATTTTTTGGATTTCATGATTCCTTCAAGCATGTTTGCATGGTATAATTATAACTTGACTCCAATTTTTGTTCTCCAAAAATAAGAAAATAATATAAAAACCTTCAGGCTGTAAAATAGATGATTCTGGACAACTGCGACAGATTTTCTTTAAAAAATTTTGGTTTTCTATTTTCTTATAGTTGTTTGATCACTGTGAAAAATTTCAAGTCAAATGTATAAACGGTTCAAAAGTTATTCAAAAGTCAGTATGACCCAAAAAATATATAAAATAGTAAAAACCAACAGTCTGTAAAATAGATGGTCCTGGTCATTCCCGACAGATCTTTTAAAAAAATTTTATTTTCTTATAGTTGGTCGGTCACTGTAAAAAATTTCAAGTCAAATGTATTAACAGTTCAAAAGTTATTCAAAGTCAATAATACTCTCATTTTTAGTACCAAAACATAGCAAATTTTTTATACTTGAGCCCTATACCATTTGTCAAAAAATCATCAATTTTTCCACTACAAAAAGTTCAATAACTTTTGATCCGCTTAACTTCAAAGGCCGAATGACCACTCATTTTTTAAGTCAGGCCAAGCTCTATAAAATGACATTAATTATATTTAAATATTTAAATTTCAAAAAAATCGTCTGGAATGACTATCGTGATAACGTAGAATATCTGAAA